AGAGAGAGAGAGACAATGAGAAGAGATGTGAGAAGTTAGCCCTGTGGGGGGATGGCTACCCCTCCATCCATTCTCCCTCATTCCTCTCCTGGGATCTTGGGCACGCACGCACATGCACCCAGTGTGAGTTTCAAGCTACTGCATCCGGACTCAAATAGTAGTTGGCCATGTGGGAGTCCAGCGGCATAACTGCTGCGCCATCTGCTGGCCCACTGTTATTGTTGTCAGCAGACAAGGATTTCAGAGCTTGGACTAGTTTAGAAGAATTGCTCAAAGCTGGATGGCAGAACTGGGATGTGAAAGCAGCGCTGGTGACTCTAAGTGCACAAGTTTAACCACACTGTTGTTGACTGTATCTCATTTTATACAGCTAACAGAACAGGAATGAGATTGTTCATTCTACCTTGTCTGTCTCTAGCAAAATGATTTTGCCTTTTTGGAGCTCTGTAGAAGTGCTTCTGGTTCTGAAAGCCATACTGCGAATTGGATCCAGCACTCCACACTTAGCAAAGGTAAGGAAGGCCACCTTGGATGACTCCCGCGCCCTGTCGTGAGCCACGCTTCTTCCCCATGAGGTGGGTACACGTCTGTCCCCTTGCAGGGCTGCGGGGGAGTCCCAGTGGTCACTGCAGAAGCATGCAGTTCAGGGCCTGCCGTGATACTGGTACTGTCTGTGCTTGTATCTTTTCCTTCCTTGGGTGTAAATGTTGAGCCAGTGAAGTCAATAAAAAGAGAAGGTGGGAAAGGCACCTTTGTATGTATGGGGCTGCCATACATCTAGGTCACTGAGAATTTGAGTTTGCATCCTCTTTGTGGTTGGAAACAACCTGAGGGTGACAATGAAGAGATGCTTCATGGAAATGAGGGGACCTGGTCTTATTCCATCTGTCCTGGCTTTTCCAGACTCCCTGGGTGGCTCCCTGTGCAACCTATGTCCCCTCTGCCCCCACTCCCCACATCAGGGCTTTGGAAAGGTTCTGAAAGAGAGGAATAAAAATGACATCTCTCCCAAGACCATCGGCCAGGTCCCAGCATGCCTTGCAGCACTGGCCCTGTGACCAAAAAAGAAGAGTCCCTACCTTTTGTCGCTCCTGCTTCATTGTGCTTCTCAAAGAGCAGGTAGCGTGGGCTCTCAGGTAGAAAGGGCAGGCTCACCAGCTGGGTGAAGGCCGGGACAACGATCACTCCGAACAGGTATGGCCAGGTACTCTCCTGTGGGGAGAAGACGCAGCTGAAGGTGAGTCATTACACTGGAGACCAGGCCATGGGTCCAGGCAGCTTCAACTCTCTGCAGAAGCCCCCTGCCCAGCGCCATCCCCCAAAGTGCTGAGCGAGCACTGAGGCAGGTTAGGCAGGAGCCTGTGTGCATGACATTTTCCACATTTGAGTCAGTGCATCCTCAGTGTCCCCAGGAGACAGTGATCTCTGAGGTAGCTGTGAAAGCAAGGCGACGCCTCACGGTGAGCCCCTAGGGGCTCCTCAAATCTGCACGACTTCACTACCAGAGCCCCTCACAGGTGGCCGTGAGTGTGAAGTTAGGCAAAGCTCCATCTTCCTACTGGAGCCACCGCCCAGACCTCTCAAGGCCCATGATGCTCCAACGGTCTCTTGTCAGTGAAGACATGAGAAGGGAGGCTGGATGGAGCTCTCCCAGCTCCCATGGAAGGGAGGGTGGTGGGCCAGAGGGCACAGGCTGCCCCTCAGGCAGGGAGGACTTTTCATCCCAATTGGCTGTGAAAGGCAAACAGGTCCCTACAGCACACTCTATTCAAGAGGCACTTCGACTCACTCTGAGCTGTGACATCTACAGCGTGCCTGTGGAGCCCCTGCTATTGTGCTGAGGATCAAGGCAGAGCTCTCTCGGTCTGTTTTCCTTACCTGGGCTTGTAAACACTCTCTCCTTGTGCTGCTAAAAGCAGACAATGTCGATCATGAGGGGAGAAAGAAGGAAAGCCAAGTGCCCAGCAAGTTTTATTTCCTAACATAGTAAAAGGAAACGGCCAAGGAGAAACTAAGACACATTGAGACCTGAGAAGACTTCATCACGTGGTGGGTGGGAGCTCCCTGGGCTTCAGGTCTGGGTCCCATGAGACTGTCTGTGGAATCCTCCAGTGCCATCTCTGGCCTCAGCCTCAGCTAACAGCTTTTCTTTTTTTCTTTTTTTTTTGGAGAGGTTTTTGCTATAGGGCACATGTGCTCGCCAGAAAGACAGAGAGAGAGAGAGAGATAGAAAGCGAGAGTAGAGATGGAACACATTAGGGGGGGATGACCACACCATAAACCCTTCTCCTCCATTCTTCTCTTGGGATCTTGGGCACGCATGCACTCGTGCCTGGCGTGAGTTTAAGCCACCGGATCCGGGACGCAAACTGTGGTCCACTACGTGGGAGTCCACCGACATAGCCATTCCTCTAACTGCTGGTCCCAGCCAACAGCTTTTCCATCGTGGTTGCAGCTGTTTCCTGGGAGGCAGACTTTCACTCTGTTGTTCTCTCTAGAGTCACTCCCTACAAAATTCCTTGAAGATGGAGACTCTATGCAAGTTCTAGGATCTCATGAGGGTCGGCCCCCTGACGCCAAGAGTGGGGAAGGGGCCCGTCAGGGACACCCGGCTGGCGGTCAGCCCAGTCTTGAGCTCTGCTTTGAATTCCACTTCCCCCTTTGTTCCTAATAATACACTGGAGACCAGGCCATGGGTCCAGGCAGCTTCAACTCTCTGCAGAAGCCCCCTGCCCAGCGCCATCCCCCAAAGTGCTGAGCGAGCACTGAGGCAGGTTAGGCAGGAGCCTGTGTGCATGACATTTTCCACATTTGAGTCAGTGCATCCTCAGTGTCCCCAGGAGACAGTGATCTCTGAGGTAGCTGTGAAAGCAAGGCGACGCCTCACGGTGAGCCCCTAGGGGCTCCTCAAATCTGCACGACTTCACTACCAGAGCCCCTCACAGGTGGCCGTGAGTGTGAAGTTAGGCAAAGCTCCATCTTCCTACTGGAGCCACCGCCCAGACCTCTCAAGGCCCATGATGCTCCAACGGTCTCTTGTCAGTGAAGACATGAGAAGGGAGGCTGGATGGAGCTCTCCCAGCTCCCATGGAAGGGAGGGTGGTGGGCCAGAGGGCACAGGCTGCCCCTCAGGCAGGGAGGACTTTTCATCCCAATTGGCTGTGAAAGGCAAAAAGGTCCCTACAGCACACTCTATTCAAGAGGCACTTCGACTCACTCTGAGCTGTGACATCTACAGCGTGCCTGTGGAGCCCCTGCTATTGTGCTGAGGATCAAGGCAGAGCTCTCTCGGTCTGTTTTCCTTACCTGGGCTTGTAAACACTCTCTCCTTGTGCTGCTAAAAGCAGACAATGTCGATCATGAGGGGAGAAAGAAGGAAAGCCAAGTGCCCAGCAAGTTTTATTTCCTAACATAGTAAAAGGAAACGGCCAAGGAGAAACTAAGACACATTGAGACCTGAGAAGACTTCATCACGTGGTGGGTGGGAGCTCCCTGGGCTTCAGGTCTGGGTCCCATGAGACTGTCTGTGGAATCCTCCAGTGCCATCTCTGGCCTCAGCCTCAGCTAACAGCTTTTCTTTTTTTCTTTTTTTTTTGGAGAGGTTTTTGCTATAGGGCACATGTGCTCGCCAGAAAGACAGAGAGAGAGAGAGAGATAGAAAGCGAGAGTAGAGATGGAACACATTAGGGGGGGATGACCACACCATAAACCCTTCTCCTCCATTCTTCTCTTGGGATCTTGGGCACGCATGCACTCGTGCCTGGCGTGAGTTTAAGCCACCGGATCCGGGACGCAAACTGTGGTCCACTACGTGGGAGTCCAGCGACATAGCCATTACTCTAACTGCTGGTCCCAGCCAACAGCTTTTCCATCGTGGTTGCAGCTGTTTCCTGGGAGGCAGAATTTCACTCTGTTGTTCTCTCTAGAGTCACTCCCTACAAAATTCCTTGAAGATGGAGACTCTATGCAAGTTCTAGGATCTCATGAGGGTATGGCAGGTGGGACCCCTGAGGCACAGAGTGGGGAAGGGGCCCCCCAGGGGCACCTGGCTGGCGGTCAGCCCAGTCTTGAGCTCTGCTTTGAATTCCACTTCCCCCTTTGTTCCTAATAATACGTTTTATTCGCAAGACTCTTCTGGTTCCACTAGTCAGCACAGTTTTTCCACCATCCTCTGAGGAACCGGCAAGGACTCAGAACGCTAGCTTTTCAGTTTTGGGGAGAGCTCCATGAGAGGATAGTGGTTGCCAGGGGCTGGAGGGAGCAGCGAATATGGAGTTCCTGCTAATGAGAATGCGATTTCACCTTGGGGTGATAGAAATCTTCTGGGATGAGACAAGAGTGAGGGTTGTATGACTTTGTGAACACACGAAAACCGCTGACTTACACATATTAAAAGGATGACTTTATGGCATGGGAACTACAGCCCAGTTGAAACAAAAGGACTATAGGAGAAAAAGTAACAATGTCGGTAGGATTTCCGCTGTGCCTTTGTGTATGTATGTGGTGGGGGGTTCGTTTCGTTTTCTCTCAGAGTTGGGCTGCAAACAGCAGTACACGAAGGTTAAATGGCTCATAGAAGCCATCATTTGGTCACAGGCACAGCCAAACACCAAGTCTCACATTCTAGAATCGGAATCCTGATTCTGGAGGCCTGGCGGGTTGTGCTTGGGTGGCCAGGAAGGAGTCCGGAGGCCACCAGACCCAGGGTGAGGCGAGGTGAGCTGGGTGTAACCTTCCACCCACCTCAGGCCAGTCCTCTGTGGTCCCAGGATGCTCCTCGGCACTCGGTCCCAGGGTGGGCTGAGGACCCCACATTTGGCATTACAGTGTAGACGCACTCTGCCTGAGGGAGGCACCATCCTGGCACGTGGGAGCTGATCGAGAAATACCTATTGGAGGAATGATTGTGTATAGGAAGGGGCTTTCTCACATGTTAATCACTTTCACAGAGCCTCCTTGCTGTTTACAGAGGGCAGCCTCTGTTGTTTTTTTATTAGGAACTGTTCAAAAAGAAGGCACGTTTTAAAAAACTATGTATGAAACGAAGTACTACAGAACTGCCACAGTACTTCTGGAGCCAGTTGTGTTTGGGCCTGGTGTGTTCAGGAAAGAACCAGAGGGTACGTCTCTGTGGAGTCGGGCGAGAGCCTTTACACATGCTATTCTACACAGGAGAAACAAAAATCCCCGTCAGGGAAGGAGTCTTACAATAACTATTGTTGTCTAATCTGCAAAGTTTCTGTTTTTAAAATTGATGTCTAGGTCATATTTCCTCTAAGCTGTAGATGACTTTGGTCTTTTCTATAACTAATATCCTCCTAGACAGTGATGAGACAGCAAAAAAAAGAAGAAGCCAAGTACCTCTGGGTTCATTGATCTACCCAAGTCAAGTTCTTATGAAAGGATGTCACGTGTACTACGACCCCCCAACTGGCCCAGGTACTCATGCCACGGAGAGACAGGGACTGCAGAGGTGCTGAGGCTCTGTGCTAATGATGTGAAGAGGAAAAGAATGAGTTCTGCCTTACAAAGCTGTGTGGTGGATTAAATGAGATGGTTTTGTTTCTATTTCTTCCTATTTAGGGTCTGGTCATAATACTGGCTGACGTTAATCCAGTGCGTCTGTGGGTTGAGCCCCATGCTAGGTGCGTTACAAATGCAACCTCATCTTAAAGAAGCACAGTTCTTGATGTCATCAAAATACATTTATCTTTTGTCTCCTTGGTTTCTTTAAAATTTAATCTGGGGGGCAGAGGTACTCTTCCACTGCCCCATTTCAGGGGTGTAGGCCTTTTCTGTTCAGTCTCATGGACTGAGCAGGATTCAACCCTAAGGTTACAGTTTTTATTTCATCATCAGAATAGCCAGTCTGAAAGCACCAAAATCAACCCGATTGAATGGATTGAATAAGAAAGCTCTAACCATGCCTGGTTGGGGAGCTGCAGTGGAAGGAGTTGGGAAGAGGGGAAGAGGGCTGATTTCTCTACGTGTTTCCCTCACTCTTCTACCCCCACTCTCCTTTCCCTGGCTTTCTAGCCAGCGTCTGCCCTCCAGGGTGAAGCTGGTGATGAGTGAGGAAGAGCATGGTCGGGTCACTGGAGAAGGCAGATGGTGTTGAAAGTGATCTTCATTCCTTGGCAGCACTTTCTAGGAGTCCTGTAGTCTCTTTCCAGGCCTAGCCACTCTTCCCTGTAGTTCCCCTAGCCTAGGGG